TCCTTCATCATTTCCCTCCTTCTCTTTTTTCTTTCTCCTCCATTTCCTCCCACGCAATGTTAAGTGTACCTATAATTTCATGGTTATTAACATTTTGCAGGGGATGAGCTGGAGAGCCCGCAGCGCATCCCGCAAGACACGTCGGAAGCCAACGGAGGCCAGCAAAATATCCATCCCACCATCGTGAAAGGAGAGCTGGACGAAGAAGACGCAGTATTCGTCGAGGCCCAGGAGGTTGTAGCAGCACCACCAGACCAAGCATTCCTGCTGTGGTAGGCCTCCTTTTGGATTTTTAGCATCAAAACTCGCGACCGTGAAGCATATGGAGTGAGATCCCCGGAAAACGTGCCGAAGGCGGTATGTCAAAAGCGTTTGTCAATTTTTTAAGCCTCCCACCGCCCCGGACTATGAATACACATTTCTTGAAATATATATATTTTTATCTGTGCTTCGGTACACGAGCTTTGGGTGGTTACGCTATTCGTCCAATATTTATTTTCGGGGGGGGAGGGACTGGGGTGGAGTGATGGGAAGTTTGGGTGAGTTTGATGGGGAGTAACTAGAGGTATACCATGAAGCTGTAAGCGGAGTTTTGGGGAATAATGGAATGGAGTAATCAGGAGTAAGTATGAGGCAATAGGAGAGTCATTGAGAGTAATGGAAGGGAGTTTCAGGGAGTATGTTGTTTGTTTTGATAGGGTAAAGAAGAGTAATGAAGAGTTTTCTAAAACGGTAGGGAGGGTTACAGAGAGTTTATCGAGGGAAGTTTTGGGGTGTAATGGAGAGTTTTGGAGGGGGTGTAATGAGGAGTACCACCTGGGAGTTTTGGGGTGTCGTTTTGGTGAACTCCCCCTTGGGGTGTCATGCGGAGTCAGGATTTTTCTCAGTGTACATCCTATTGTTAAGCCTATGGGAAAATATTCAATTCGGAAAATACTGGCGATATCCGCTTCGTTCTATCACTTTAGTGCTTTGAAACAACAGTACTTAACATTATGTCACTTGGTGCTTCTTTGTTCGGTGTACTTATCCATGGGTCAGGTCAAATGAGGTCAACTGAGGTCAAATGACGTTTGTGCCAATAACTTGTCACAAAATAAAGATACAGCTTTCAAAATGGCATCATTCTGTTCCTCTTGAACAGCCGAGTCGAATGATATGCAACATTAAGCATTTCGACCATTCTTAAGACTTAAGATGTACTTAAGATTTGCTTAACTTTTTAAGTACACTTAAGCAAGCAAACAAGTATATGATTCGACGCGCCTTGACGTGCTGAGTTCACTGGTGCTTTTCTTTTTGCTCTATCTTAATTAGATCAAAAGTTATAAGCGAAAAACTTTTGGCCTGTTTTAGCAAAAATTTTACAATTATGCCCCCAAAACCCGCCTAAATATTGACCTAGAGCAACCAAATTTGCACAGGGGAGAGACCTCCCATAGACCCATCTACCCTGTAAATTTGGTGTTTCTAAGTGCCATAGGAGCCAATCGCCAGGGGGGGGGGGTCGTACCAACCCCCCTCGCCGTCCGTGTTATGGAAAAGGCCCTCGTCGGGCGAGGGTTAATAAGTTGTATCTGGCTTACATGTGATTACATATTTCCGCTTCTGCAAAGCTTCTAAGTTTCATTGATTGGATATTTCACCATATTTTCGAGGTAATTTTTGACAAAATTTTACAAACTTTTGTAGGGTAGGAAAAAGCGTTCGTTAACCCTGTTGAGTTACATTGAATGGGTATTTGTAAACAGTCGCTCGGGATCTGTTTATAAAAAACATCAATAGAGAATGAAACATTTCTTATAAGCACGGTGTCTGCTCTATGTGCTTTCGTTTTCCTTTTTGTATCTGTAGGCATTGCATGTTTCTCATTTTTATGCATTTTGTGATGCACGAATGCGACTAGAGATAACCGATGAATAAATTTGAATAAACGCCATAGAACATACCTCAAAATAATATATGATAAAAATTATGACCCGCAAACTTCTGATGGCTATTTCCAAAATTAAGGCACTCGTGAAGCAAAGCTTACGTCACGCAAGCCTCAGCATCCCTGTTAGTTGATCGGACAATTCAAGTCCGATAATGAGATGTTATTTAACTGTTAACTATACAATTACATATTAACCCGCGCCCTGCTGGGGGGGGGGGTGTTTGAACACCCCCCTTGTGGTTTTTCGCGAATATCTCAAAAACGGCGGCGCGGAGCGCCGCCGTTTTTGGTACACCTTATCATACATCAATTCTACACATGTTGTAAAAATTTCAGACCAAGGTCATTCAAGGTCAGGTCACCAGGTCACTTGAAGTGACCTCACCTCATAAAAAGTTTCAATGTCTGTCATAGCTACACCGAGTGACCGATTGCTTTGAAACTTTCAGCGATTGATAAGGGTAACAGTATCTATAAAATGTTTATCTCGGAATTTTGATATCGGTGACCTAAGGTCAGGTCAATTTTGCGACCTCCCCATTATAAGTCAATGGGAGAAAATTGAAATGCGCCTCTTTTGGACGAAACACATTATAAACACTCCCAAACACTGAATTACAAGTGGTTTAGACACACTGAACATGAAAATGGTGTCCGTGACCCTTGTTTATGCCCTGAGGTCATCTAAGGTCACGAATGGTATCTAACAGTTTTTCGCAAATAACTTTTGATAGAGGCATGCTAGAGCGATGAAAACGCCTTAGATGTGTTCAGCTCGACGATACGGATCGACTGATATGCAACATGACCCTTTCCGGTCAGGTCATGACCTTGACCTGAGGTCAAATTTTCAAGTTAACCTTTCAAGGTCAAGTTATAGTTCATTCGATGCGTCTTGACGAGAGGAACACGATGCCGGTAAAAGTAAGCTCGTACAAGGCTTGGGTCAAAAGTTATTGCCGCAAAACTGTTTCCGAAAAAAATCGGCTATTTTTGCAGTTTTTGCCCCCTGCAGGCAAAACCGTTGACGTTAGGTCAAATCTGAGAGAATTAATCAGAAAGGGCGTTAATAGGGCTATCGAATGCGCTTTTCCGCGGCGCTGTAGCTCTATTGGTTCCCGAGTTATGCGTTGGCTTCTTGGAAAGTTTCGATATTCGACCTGGAAATCGGCGAAATTTTGCCTTCAATGACCTCTGGTGACCTGACCTTTGACCTGACCAAAAAATTGACCGAAGTGATTTCGTTATTATTTTTGGCGCTCTTTCGAACGCCGCCTTCCGCGTATCGCTACGTGGCCCAGGAGCCGAGTTACAAGGGGGGTGTTCAAACACCCCCCCCCCCCCCAGCAGGGCGTGGAAATCCAGGACCCCCAGCCCGGCGCGGGTTAAGTTAATATTTCACTACGAGCAATGGAAAGAATAAACACAAAAAATGCAATAAAAGCATATGACCGAATAGTACCCATTCTGCACTCCGATTGCATCCGACTTGCAACATGCCATCATCCATTGTCCCGCCATGCGGCGTGTATAATAGCGAATAACGTGCACTTACATAACACAGCACCCACTGATAGGCCGTAGGCTCAGCATCTGTGCATCGTCCCCAATGATCTCCGGCGTATAGTGCCGAGACGGATAATCAAATGTACAGCCCACCGCTAAAGTAATGTAGGGTTTTACCAATCTCAACGGTTGGCTTTGACTGGCGATTGTTTAATGCGGAGTGATCGAAAAGAAGATGTCAATAGCTAAAGTTGCAGCTGCAAGGGTGACGATACATATAAGCTTCATTCAAAGTTTCATTGTAGTCTGGTTAATCGTTCCCAAGCTTCAGAAGCAGAACATACCCATAACTGAAACCGCACATTACTTCTGCTGTGGACTGTACCTAATTTGTGCGCCTAATACCAAAATGTCTAACAAAAAGGCACTACTGTGCGCGGTCGGTGAACCGCTGAGCTAATCGTTAGTGACACACGTGTCAAGCTGCTACGACACACGCTGTTTGATGCTGACAGGGATGGTCTGAGGTGATGGCATCAGCGAGAATAAAGACAGAAGGATGTCACAGAATCGCTTCCAGCTACGTATAAATGCTTGACGTAACACAGGTTATGACTAATTGATTTTTTTCTCGAACATATTGTCGAACGCATCCGCATGATATCTGACCATGGTGTTTCATCAGAGCGTCACGCAAGCTCCTGGCGGTGGCTCCAGCTTCGACAAACTGCTAGACAACATAAAAAACGAGAGCCTAAGCAACTACATACCTACATAGAACTGAAGTAATTTATTTCCCCTGACAACTGTTACCGCTGATGTCTCTCCCGACGGAAAGCTGCATGACAAAGGCACACTCCAATATCCGTCTAGCTAACTACAGTTGAGCCTGTTAAAATACGAGCGGAGGTCGTTAAGATATCTGCTATTGTCAACAATTAGTAATAGGTTATGCTCATTGTTATTGCCCAAAGGTAAAATTATAGAGCTTGAGATATCTGTCAGGCTCAGGAATCGCCCTGCCATTTGTGGATCGCTCATGATACATGATCGTGATGCATGCAAATACTACATACTTACATATAAAGGATTAAAGTAAGGCAATGCTTCCGTGCAAATGCTCAAATGGTCTGAGTTTGCAGTTTGCAGAAGACATCGTGACTCATTTTATCAGCATGCCACTGAACGACCCCTGTCAGAACAAAGACATATGTCTGTGCTGAGCTCACGTAAACTCGATGTGATATTGCTAACGTCACTAAGTGAATAATAAACATTAAAAAAAAATGGATGACAATTAGTGGAACTTTTCTTTACCTTACATCGTTCGTGTGTGATTGCGTAACTTTAAAAGTTCTTGCGGATTCAATAAAATTATGCACAAAGTTTGCTTAAGCTTAAAACCTGCAAAGGATTATATGTATAATATATGTATATAAATGAATGACAATTACCTCACACCGTAGTCAAACAAACCTTTGATAAAAAAAAAATCTACAAAGAGTTCCGTCATAATCATTATATGCAACTACGAATGACTCGTTCGCAAAAGCAACAATGACATAAATCTTTATTGTACAGTGAATACTTCAACCAGCCAGCAAATGAACTCACGCTAGCTAGGCTTCGTAAAAAATGCAAGGACAAAGCGCGCAACAGTAAAGACAAGCGTCATGCACCGTGACTTCTACGTTCCGATACGACAGGTGGCATGAACTTGTTTCGGTTCGCTTACATTTCCGCACTAAGCGCGATCCAAGCAATGATAATGACCCAGCGTGCAGCCAGAAGCCGCATTTGGTGGCAAGCGCGCTGCTTTGTAGGAGGATAGATATAGAATTCGCTCCCTAGTGCGTTTGCTCGTTCCCAGGCACTCCCAGTGCGTTGACACACACGATAGGCGCGGATTGAAAATAAGGTCTATATCGCCTGTGCTTGTGGTTGCTAAGCAAAGGCCATTGGCTGCTTAGTAACCCGAAACTATTTCACTTTGAGAGTTGCATGCAATGTTGTGAGACCTTGATTACATATTGGTATTGTACTTGTTTGCATATTGAACACAGTTGCTGTCAAACCCATGCAGCATACCGCAAACATCAAAGGATGAAAGAAGCACAGAATTAGGCTTGACATTCCTCACAAAGTCACAACAACCTTTAATGCTGTTCCTGTACCTTTAACTAAAAGTTACGGACTTTCATGCAATGTTTGTTTCATCTTATACCGTAGTTATTGCCTTCAAAATATATTGAACAGACAATACATCCGAATCTCACCATTTTTTTTTTCTTTGGCGCTTCGCTTATATCATCATTAAATCATCTTTACATCAACACACAGACAAACACATAAGAAGCAATGTTGAAGAGCTTTCAATTCACACCATCAAAGCGCACAAATGGCTGCGTTTCCCCCCTCCAGTCCACTGGTTTTGATGTATAACTGCAACCCGATCTCGGTCATATACAGCGTCGCACCATCCGCAGTATGGGATCGATCCAGTCTCCGGTCTCGCTTCCAAGACCAATTACATAACACGTCCCCGTCCTCGGTCATCAATGCCTGGTGCATGTCATCTGTGAAACATACGACACTGGAATGGTTCGTGGAAATATGGCTGTGCGAAGATACAATAGAATAAAAACAAAAGAGGATGCAGAAGAGAAAACGACTGAGATAAATATGCTAAGATATAGCAACGGAACAATTCAATAAACACAATTTCGTATTTATCGCAACAACGCACACCAAATGGACGGACAATTTTGATAGATTTATTGAAAGTTACGCGCTGAATCGCAATATCTCGTGCAATAACTGACACTTATAAACAAGCAGATAAGATTAGCGTCGTCCAAATGCCGGCTCTGCGTAGTAACACCGACACAGAGCGTTATTCTCTCCGGTATACTTATAACCTCCTCGAATCGGAGTTCGATCAAATATGCGCTCCAGATCATCGTCAAGATCGCCTCCAGCGGGAAGTTCTCTCGCACTGAGACCGTCACTCCTGAAGACGGCGTCGACGATTGTCGAGATGTCAGCGCCCTGAAGCGAACCCACATTGACGTGGTTGTCGGCAATGGCGATGTCATCGTAAGGAGGATGGTTATCGATGAGAGCAGGTTGGACGTAATCATGGCCAGCAGCATAGACAGGCTGTTCAGCTACAGGCACAGGGTGATGCGCTACACCCTCGTAGGTGACCTGGGCGTTGTAGCCCGAGTTGCCGTCCACCCAGTACGTGACGATCTGCCTCCGGCCGTCGGGAAGCAGCGTCGAGTACGAGCCCTCAGTGCGGTCACCGAAGCGTGTTTCCTCTTTGGTGTTTTGTACGCCCGAGGCAGGGTCATCAATGCCGTAGCCATAGCTGTAGTCGGGTATAGAGTGGATCTCTGGCGGTGGGGCGATGGGAACAGCCACCACAGGAGGAGGAATCTCGACAATGGGAGGGTAATAGGGAAGGTCCACAGGAGTGTCCTGAAGAGGAAGAGGCTCCGGGTGTGGAAGAGGCTCCGGAACCGGAGGCAGCTGCACCAGCGGCTGCGCTGCGGGCAGAGGCTCCGGCTCTGGCTCCGGCTCCGGCAGAGGCAGAGAAGGTTCAGGTTCCGGCTCCGGTATGGGTTCCAGCGGAGGAAGCGACTCAGGGACGATGTCAGGCAGTTGGGGACCAATGAACGGACGGTTACCGTCGTCGTCGCTTCCGAAGGTACGGGCTAAGCCTGCGTAGCGCTCAACTCCTACTTGAAGTCCATCATCGTCGTCGTCGTCGTATACACCACCACTACTTCCACCATCAACTTTGATGGCCGTTCCTAGCGCAGCTTTATCTGCGGGCACGGTGACATAGCTGTACTGGGACGCCTGAACTCCTTCAGACTCCTTCAGATTCTCAGTTGTGTTTGAAACCTCACTAACGGCTTCTACAATCGTCGTGCCATTTTTTGATCCAGTTTTGTTAGAGCTAGCTCCTTGACGCTCCGTAGCGTTGGTTTCAGGGGAAATGACATCGGGTTGTGATGTGGAATAAGCCTCAGTCTGTGAGATTTCGGGGGATGATGTGTTGCTGTTGTGCGATGTCTCAACCTGGGCAACGCCAGGGAATGATGCGACGTTGCCAGGAGAGGCCGCAGTCTTAGTGACGGTGTTGAACAATGTACCGCTGCCGGATAATTGCCCGGTCTGAGCGATTTCGGGGAATAATGCAGCACTGCTGGGTGATGGCCCAGTGTAGGCTGTTGTGACCAGCACCAGGTTTGCAGGAAGCACCAGCACCAATGACACGATGAGTGCCAGCACCTGCGGGAGGAAGTCACCGAGTCAGATAAGCGCGTAAGGTATCAATTTGTTTAGAAAGAAGAATGAAATATAAAAATGAAACCTCAAATGAACCTCAACAGAAATATAAAAAAGAAAGGCTTGGTTGTGGCCTTCCCCTCCATTCCACATGTGCTCTTTACCAATGCTCAGATAATGCCAAAAATGCTACCATCAATGTATGGAAGTGTTTGGTTAGTTTTAGTTCCTTTTATTTTATTATTCATCAAAATAAGAAACAAATAGTGAAGAGTTATTGTTTTGAAAACATCAATTGTGTCGAAAAATACCAAAATTACTTAAAATAGCCTTAACCCTAGCAGAAGCATCATCAAGTGCCTGGCAAAACGTTTTCATTACAAATACCTACGATAACGAATAAGGAAGACTACGCCAGCGACGTTCGAGATGAATGCGGAAAAGGAGAACGTCGTTGGAGGCAAACGTCATGCAAATGTCACGACTGCTCACTGACGTGGTATTCATGTCTGCAGTCTGAAGCATGCTCGTGACCACGCCATTTGCTTTAGGTTAATGACAAAAATCCTATTGTATTCTTTTTTCTGCATTGCACACTCATTACTGCAATGCTGCATGCATGGGCAAAGTTGAACAATAGCCACTACAAAGTGAGCAATACGTTTGTAGCATAGGTCACTTTTGTTGCGCATCTTTCAAAGATACTTGTGCTTTATTTGCCACTGGATACAGAAGTATTTAGTAGTTCAAAAGGCGCCAAAGGCGTTTTGAAACGCCACCGTTTTTATCATCTGTAAGATTCATTTGGTGTAGGTATACAATTGTACATACACCCGCTGTGCAGTTTTATTGGTAAGCTCTTTTTAGCAAAAAGGAAAGCTACTGTCAATGGCCATTGTGTTCAGAATCACGACTACTCCCAGTGCAACGACCGCTGCAAATTCGTGCACAGCCAGTGACTAGCAAAACTGCAGCAAAGTTAACCTTCACCTTCAGCCACTGTAACTGTCCCCTTTCCTTTCGTTCATTATTGGCCGACAATTTGGCTGCCTAGTATCATTGGATCACTGCACTCGTAAACAAACAAACGAGCGCATTGAATCCACTGGCTCACTGGACCCACTGGCCATCAACTATTGTGATTTTTTTTTTACCATTGTGATCTTGATCAATGCCTACATGTGGCTTAACTAGCTGATTATATCAATAGAAAAACACAATTCTAGCGAATAGTGTTTGTCTATTTCAAACAACCTGCGGTTACAACTAAAGACTTTGGGAAAAGTACGGAATATGATGGCAGTTTATTGCTAGTCCACTTAAGGGTTTTGCCTTATTGATTTTATACTGACAACATTAATGCTCTAAGCCATTACTTTCGACGACTCTATACTTTGACTTACCTTCATCATGGCCTCCTCCGTCCCTCTCTCCGCTCTCCTCACTCTGCCTTCCCCTCTCCACCCGGGCCGATCTTCAACTGCCATCATAGATCACAGGTCACCAGGTAATATAGACTCACGGTGCCCGCATTTGGTCATCGCGTGCGCTCCAGTCCACACAGGCATAGTTGTGACATTCCGTACAGCTGTATACGCCATGCGGCACAGGCTTGCAAGTTGCACTGCAGGGCACGGGCTGGTTATGCTTCAGAGGGGGAGGGTCACTGATACCAGGTGCAGACACAGTAACATGGTGTGTGTATGGGGGGAGGGGGAAGGGGGGAGGGTGCTGGTAGGAGGGGGTGACTGCTCCGCAACAATGGCTATGTGGGGAGCTATGCAATGCAATTTGAGCAGCAGTAGTCGGAAAAAGGCGTTGCAATATTTTTTGAGATGATGTCCGACTTTAGGACTGTTCTCCATGCTACTGAAATAACACGCAAAATTCGCAACGGTCACAGGTCAATGACCCTTCAGGCGGTAGCCCTACCAGCGACGGCATCGAATCCAGTTATTGACCTTTCCAATTTCAGATAATTGAAAAATGATGCAATTTTAGAAACAAGCAAGCTAATGGCAAGCGAATGGATGCTAGTCAGCCGTTTCACTAATTAATGGCCCACTTGTTAGTCATTTGTGGTATGGGCTCGATTAACGACGGAAACATTTGAGCATGTTCTGGGAAAAGGCCCCATCGAACCCGACGCCACGAAATGGTAGCATGTTTTGTCCCAGCGAAAGACAAGCAGTCGCATACTATTTATAGTCTCACATGACTACTCTCAATTATAGGCGGCTCTGTGTGTGTACTTGGTACGAGGGGTGCAATAATTATGAAGGCTTGAGTGACTTATCTGCTGATAATTGACTTGATGAAAACAGGCAATCAATTAAGCGCTGTTCAGAAAATACATACGTACATGGGGAAATGAATATGATTGTTATTTGAACAGTAATCAAGATCAGGGAGATTTTAATTCATTTCCTTTCACAACTAAAGCATACCTTTTGAACAGATAGCTCACATTTCTAGCCCTCGTCGACATTCGTCAGTCCCAGTAACTGCGCAGCTCTCCACCAACAATACCTTTCACATAATGGCCAGGACATGAAGGACAGAGACCGGTGCTCATACCTTGAACACCATTGACAGGGCAGCCAGGTGGTCCACCCTGCAGCAGACCAGAACTAAGGGCACGATTCCACAGTCACCTGAGCAAGGACTACGTATAAAACCGCCCACGGGACAAAATGTTTGAGCATTTGGTGACTGCCGCACTCTGACATCAACATGCGGGTAAGTTTTCCTATGGAATGTGCGTTGAGTTTTTCCTGAACGCGTTTAGCTACCGTTTGTGTCTGGGAATGTGGAAGGTTGTCGGACGTTTTGACGTGGATGGTTGTGCAGAAGGCAGAAACCCATGTTCATAGTCTGAAGCAGCTTAATACCGGATCAATATGCTGCTCAATCGTCATATAGTATTTGGCATTTGATGCAAGTCGCACATTATTCTCTTATTGGCATACCGCTAAAGTTGTGGTAAGTAGTGTTCTTCCGCTAGTCTGTGTACCTTCCATCTACACTCCAATACTTCTGTGACTGTCTTTCTTTCTCCCTCTCTCTCTCTCTCTCTCTCCTAAATATTGCTCACTCTTTTCATTCTTTCCATTTCTTACTTCTTAGTTCGTTCTTCTTCTGTGCTCTGCCCTATCTTCTTTATATCTTCATAACATTTTCTGGCATTTCATCTCTCTGTTACTTACGCCTCCCGAACCTCCCTCTACCTTCGACAGCGCTCGCTGGCTGCTCCGGTGGTTCTGCTCTTCCTCTTCTGCGGACCAGCACTGGCCGACTACCCTCCCCACAAGAGGCCTCCGAAGCCTCACACCGGCTACAAGGGTTCCCATCCAGTCAAACCCAAATACAGCTACGCTTACGGCATCGACGACAAGCACGCTGGCATCAAGTTGAACGTCAAAGAGAGGCGCGACGGAAAGTTCACAGAAGGAGAGTATGTCACCAAACTTCCCGACGGAAGGAACCAGAAAGTTTCCTATCACGTGAACGGAAAATCAGGTTTCGTTGCGGATGTGAAGTATGATGGAGTGGCGCGGCATCCGGTTCCGATCAAGAAGCCGGTGAAGCCGGGCAAGTACTTGCCACCCAAGGTGGCAAAACCACCGGTTGTAACCTATGGGCCCCCGGTGCCTCTGGCAAAGCCGCGGCCGCTGCCTTATCATCCTGTGAACACGCGGTATAGATATGGTGATGATGATGACGATGGATATGTGTCATATAACAGTGGGTTCTCAAAGGAAGGATTGTCGGGATTTGTGCCCCAAGATATCTATCGTGGAGCGCCGTATGGTAAAGGGCTTGACATTTCACCTTATGAAAGGAGCACCAACCTTTTTCAGCAGCAGTTCTACCAGTAACGAGAGAATAAAGTATTTGCGGTGCAGCTGCTCACATGTGAGAGGCTTTCTATAAGAGAACGGTCTTGCTAAGTGGTTTGCAGATGTGTGTCGTCCGTCGACTTTGTGCTTTTCGTCGCTTTGTCTCGTCTCTGTCGATGGTGCTTTCTGGCGTTTGTGCTTATTTGTTTGCACTGTGTGGCATTGTTTGCTGTCTTGATAATAATACATGACACGCCTGCCACAACATGCGTATTTGCCTAAAATCCAACAAGAATACTAGTCTGCTGTTCGCTGATCTTTTTCTGTACTCCAATCCTCTTCCCATTACTTCTCTTCATCCCGGTACACTCCACAGCAGACTGCATTTAACATCAGCAAACAGGCGTATTTGTATCTCATTCAGCTACCGTTTTTCCTCTAAACCTCTGCACACGCTCGGCACCTTACGACCCGGGACCGCTGACATTCAGTGCCCACTCCTCTTGTCAGCTCAGGGCTGCTCGTGCTGCAGATATGAAGCATTTGCTCATTTTCCTGCTACCAATCGCTGTGACGCTGCGTGGGAATGACTGGGCACGGATATCGTGTGCGGTGCTGAGTGGGTTTGGGCTGGGTACAGCGATACAACTGAAAGAATGTCTTACTGATCCGGAAAACGGATAGGTCTTGCTGTAGATGATGGTCTTTTTGGGAGCGTTGGCACCCAGACCTGATGTAGTGTGGCGATGCAGCTTTGTTGCAAACTATCATTGATTCTAGACATTTCTTGTAGGTAGAACACTTTTTTGTCATGCATTATATTTGAAGTAAGTTACATGTTTACTTGAGATATTATCGTGGGGAAACAAATCACCCTTAGTGCATTTCAAGCAGGAATTTTTTCTCGAGATAGGTTATCTGGTGGGCAATGCCGCGTCCAATCTGACCAGCCGACAATGCGGTGCTTACTGAGCTGAAGATACTGCACCAGCAAACAAAGCAGGAGGACTTAGTTTTACAGCGAGTCTTATTCGCTTCGGCGCCGATATCGGCCTGCATTAGCTGTGAAATGCACAGTGTGCATATAGTCCACCACGCGATTGCCAGTTGTGCTTCGTCCGCCATGACGGTGAGAGTGACACCATCAGACCACTCGACGCTTTGGTGTGACCGATGACGGACGACGGTTCAAGGCAACGAGTCGGCGATTTGGAGCCACAGAACCACGTTGTTCTCGCCATGGCTGTCTACCAGGGCAGTGCCCAAGGCAGAAGTGGAGTGCACTGTCGACGATCGAATGTAGCAGAAAAGGTGGCAATGTTCAACCAGCTTCACGAAGGGTCAACACAGCAGGTCAGTTGGAAGCAAAAAGTGGAGGAAAAGACGCAAAATGGAAAACAGCCCAGTGAAGGATCATCAGTTGAAGTTTCCAGATATGTTCGAATGTACAACAGACAGATGTCAATCACAGATTACGAAAATGATGAGATCAAGGAAGCTGCAAGTCGAGGCAAGAGACTGCCAATGACTTTCCTGGCCCTGGGCGTCCTGGTAAGAAAATTTGGGTTTCTGGCTGCCATGGCACTGAGCTTTTTCGTGGAAAGCAATCAGCCGTTCAATGCCTGCCAACTTTTCATTACTACCGCTTGGAACAACACAAGGCGGGCCTTGTTCTGGCTATCAGCTGAACCATTGTGGCGTTGCTTGCAGGCCATTCATGTGGTCAAGCCTGGCGAATGCACCAAATGTTCTCCGCTAGGTCGTCTATCAGTTGTGAACCATAACCAGTCCGGTAGCAGCATCGAAGGCCACGACGATCTCGACGCTTATGAGGAACGACCATGTGCATCGGATGTGGACGTCATGCTAGAGCTCGGCCCGTGTCGCTGGCTCAGAGCTGATGACCAGGACGGGCCGCCGATCTCTGCGGATCCTGCACCTCCAGATTGTGGTGGAGACTCGTCGCCACTGTTAGTGGCTACGCCAACCTCAAAACCAGGCTTTGTTCTACTGTACGTTGAACCTACGTCTGAGTGCAAGCACAGTGACTGGCGTATCTTCTCGGCTGAAGCACTCCGCTCTTTGGTGCTGGACTGGTGCAGGATTCGATACAATACAGATTTCATCATCGAGCCATCAGGACCAGCCGTCAACGTCAGGAAAACGGGGATCGACACCAACGGTGGCACTGACTGGGTGCCTTGTTTTCACCTACCCGAGTGGCCATCAGAAGAGTTCCGCACCCGTCCACGTGTGACCGACTTCCCACCGGCAGAGGCGCGGGAGGACATCTGCCGCTTTGGCGTAAACCTAGTGCCCACCGGCCACCCGGGGAGCCCCACTGAACACATCGAGCTGCGTCTGTCGTTCTCACGTGCCGAGGTGGTGGCAGTCTGGCACCTGTTTCCAACCGTCAGGATCGCCATTCAAGCTCTAAAATTCGTCCGCAACGAGATGAAAAAGCGCCGAAAGAAGACGGCAGTGAAAGAAACTAAAACACACCTCAAGTCCTACCACATCAAAACCACGGCTCTCTGGCTGTGCCAGGACGTCACCAGGGAGAGTTGGACAAGCGCCACCACCGCGATGTACATGATCTTGGACAGGTTGGAGGAGGCAGTCGGAGAGGGAGCACTGCACTGCTTCTTCTGGACGGAGATCAATCTCTTTTCAGAGTTCTCCAAGGAAGACATGGGTGCTATGAAGCGCCAGATCCAGAAGACTCGAAACATTCTGCTGGAGGGGCTGATGGGATGGTTCGACAAGTGTTTCGATCTCCAGTCGTGGGCGGATCGTGACATGTCGACAATTGAAGGCCTTTGCCAGCAAAGTCCTGAAGATAGGGTATCCCAACCAACCAGCCAGAGACAGTCGGGAAGGCCCACACAATCCTCCGTAGAGACTCACTCGGACCCAGCGACCCGCAGCAGTAAGATGTTCTCTACAGACAGTAGACGAACGTCCTCAGACAAAGAGCTCCCAATCACGGGTAGGCAGCTTACCTCAGACAAAAGGCAGCCAAATTCCGAAAACCAACTGGCGATCCAAAGCAAAGCCCAGACGACTTCAGTCAATCAGCAGTTGTCATCGGCCAGCCAGCAGACGTCTTCAGGCAAGCGACAGGCGCTTCAGGGCGACGAGAAGTCGTCTTCGCTTAAAGAGCGACTGAGCCCATACAGCCAAAGCTCTTCCTCGGAGAGTACACACCCGTCCTCATCCGCCTCAAGTCGTGATTCCCCTTTAAACGAGCAGCATCGAGCTGCCTCTGTTCGTCGGCTGCAACTCTTTGCAGCCCGGCACATGGTTATATATTCAGTCATGGAAGGCATCAGACATCGACACATGGGTTCTTCCGGTGTGGACAATGATACGGACATTTCGGACCATGTACGGGAAGAGCTGATGAGATTTCGTGTCGGGCAACCATACGCGATGGGCCGCATGCTTGTTCAAGCCATGCTGGCGGCCCCTGAAGATCTGGTGGGCAGTGCGCGGCTGGTAGCCCACGGTGGAGACATGTACACCTGGGACGTGGCGCCGCTGCTGGGACTACTCAACGACTCAGACATGCAGGTGCTGCTGGGAGAACCCGAGGCGGTGGCGAGCTGGTGGCGACAACAGCTGCGGCTGCCTCTCGCGGAGCGACCGGAGGGCATGACCGCTGACCTGGACACGCCGCAAGGCAGGAAGGAGTTGCTGCTCAATTCGAACCTGCTGCTGCGAGCCTTGGAAGAAACGGGCGTCCTGTCTTCGACGAGTCACCAGTTCCCTAAACAGGAACCACTTGAACATCGCAAAAGATCCTCGCTGCCGTTCCCATCTAGCCAGCCGCCACTTTCTGAACCTTCCCAAACTCTTCAGACCTCAGCTGAACCCATTAGAAAGACGCCTTGCAGCACCGGCGAAACACGGCACATGAAAGAACCCATCTGGAAGAAGGAACTGGAAAAGTGGGACAACTTTGCGAGAGCAATCTCATGGCATGTCCGTTCCTACGAACGAATTCGTCAGGAACTCGACGATGAGCACCGTTCAAACCTAGAGAGCCGTCTTGGACGATCCGCGATCATCCGTGGATCGCAAAACGCCACTGCTGCCGCCAGATTGTGGAGACGGGGCATCGAACGGATGTTGTCGGGTTCTGAGCTGCGTACCAAGTACGAAGCCATCACTGGCGCCCTGCCGGACAGGTGGCAACTCAGACAGTACGTCTTTGATGACTGCTGAGGTCAGAGCTTGGACTTGCTGGGCGCTGAAAATCACAGACGTTCGTTCGAGTTTTGTTGTCGCTGCTGACCTACCGAGTGCTCTGCAAGGCTGTGTAGTGTTTGCTTATCAGACTCGTGTTTTGATGTCACGGTGACCGTGGAGAAGATAGTCTTGTTGTAAGATTATAAATTTGAATGTAACTACTTCATTGAAGCAAATTATTGGATTGGAAGAGTTTTTGCGTTATACGTTTATGCATTGTGTATTTTGCAATTACACAACCTGTCTCAGTGTTTTGAATCAGCTAGATGTTGAGCTAGTAAATGCGTTGCGTTGCTTGCGTTGTCACGAAAGCATTCGCACATCAGTTCCACTGCATCAAAATGTTTTGTAATCGAGGGTTGTAAGTGTGCACTGTGTCGCTATGATTCGCTATTTATCGTCGTCGTTTTGTTATGTGTTTCACTTGAGGTTTTTTTTAGGGCCAGCAGCTGACTTTGCCGCTGGTCTCGTAAAAATTGCATAATGGTGCTCGGCTCATTTTCATCTCCACTACACATGCCATTCAAATTTCTTGAGTCAGCATCATCCAGTCATTGGCACATTCGACGCCAGTTTTACATTGCACATCGCGCAACTCATGAATCATGAATCAAACACAGTGGAAGCGAGTGTTATTTTTGCTATCGTTTGCAATAAATGCAGCTGTGATCCTTGGCTGTTTATGTTTATTTATGACATTGGGGTTGTAGTTATACTAGCCAAGAGAATACAAACCATTGATTTCTGAGGAAACCACTATGAAAAAACTAACAATGATTTGTTTTCCAGCAAAAGCATCAAGGGTGGAAAGAGAGAACTACTTTTTTTGCGGCTGACAGGAACTTAACCTTCGCCCCAGTGGGGGGGGGGGCATATGTTACCACCCTGTCGCGTTTTTTGCGTGTAAATAAAAAACCGCGGCGCGTAGCGCCGCGCCGCTTGGGGTAGCTTTTGGTACATCAATTTTGGACAATGTGTGAAATTTTTGACCCCAGGTCATGTCAGGTCAGG